AAGTGGCTTACTCTGACATGCTGCAGCATATACTCCCAGTTGTACCGCTCAGAGGACGAGGGCATTATTGTTTGCCAAAGGTGGCTTCTGGGAAGTTAAAATTCTTTGGCACTTTTGGCCTGCTTCACAAGTTGGAAAAATAAGTTTTAGTAACCAGAGAAAACCCCCAGCGAAGAGTTGCAGGGATTGGGCTGGCATGTGTGGAAGGGGTAAGAATGACCATGTCTGCACATGCGATACTGGTGGTGTGCCGCACCCGGGAAGAGAAAGATGGAGGAGTGGGAAGCAAGCGGGAGAGTGAGGAAAGGAAGGAACAAAGGTGGGAGGGAGGGAGGGAAGAAAAGGAAAGAGAAAAAATAACTAACATGTTGCTTGGATTTATTCCTTCATTTGTTTATAGAGAAAGGGCTGGAAGGTAGCAGACTGCTGATGTAGCAGCTTCTGGGGGGCAGGTGAAGTGAGGTAATAAAGGAGAGGAAGGAACATCACATGCTTTCGACTTCTGTACCCCTAAATTATGCAACAATGACAGTGCATTCAGGTACTGCTGGGCAACAAAACATAATAATGAAATAAAGAGGGAAAGAACAAAAAGACTTCATGCTACAGAGTATAAAAACAAATCCTTGACATCTAAAGACAGGAATAAATTTTCCCTTGAAATATATTACTGCACATTTTTTGCATGGATAATAGTTTGGCTTTGATTTGGTGAACATGCTTCTCATTTTAGTATTTTTGATTAAAAATATATAAGCATATCTCTTGGAAGGCAGAATAAAATTTCAGAGAAGTCACCACAATCTTTTAAACTTGTTTTCAATTCTTGGAGCTGAGTTAATATGAGACTCCTCATGGTTTCTGTTGAGAGAAGTCTTGGAAGGTATATAAATGAGAACAGGTCGGGGTGGGGGGGTGTATTAGCCATCTTGTCATTGCATTGCTGGGACAAAACACCTCACACACAATTTAGAAGAAAAGATTTATTTTGGCTCATAGTTTTAGAAGGTTCAGTCCATAGTCAGCTGGCGCCAAGGCAGAAACATCATGGCAGAAGAGGATGGAAGAAGACAGCCGCTCAATTCATGGCGGCTAGGAAGCAGAGCCAGGGGAGAGCAAGAAAGAAAGGGCCAAGGACCAGGTAGTCCCCAAGGTCATATTCTCATGACTCACCCTCACACAGGACGTGTGCTTCACTCATTTCCAAGGCAGCTCTCAAGCAATCAGGTTGATAATCAAGACTATCACAAGCAATATATACCAAAAGTCTTAAAATAAGCATTTTCTGACTCATATTCTATGTAGGGGAGTATCCTATACAAACCATATTTTTAAAATAATATTTCGGCATAAAGGTGTTTAAGGAATTGTTTATAACTGTGAAACCATGCAAATAGGGGAATGATTGGTAGGGTACATAGTGAAGACAGAACTGGGTTAAAAATGTTAACTCTCCTACTTCCTAACTTAATAGATGTACTGTCCTGATCAATTAACAATTTCCTTGACTTAGACACAGATGTGGAAATGTGGATTAAAGATATTCAGAACACACACACACATGGACACGCGAGGTGGGAATTGTAATTACCTACCCCATTCAGTTTCACTGTTTACTGAATAATCCATGTAAAACATCTGGATCAGTGTTAGGCACACAGTAGATTCTCACCCAAAGGTGGCTGTTATTAAGGAAACGATGGTCATTCATGTGATGGAATATATCCACACAAGAGGCTTATAAATAGGCATGGAAGGGCTGGAGTTGTAGCTCAGTGGTAAAGCACATTTCTAGTATGTTTGAGGGTTCAATCCCCAGCAAGAGAGAGAGACAGACAGAGAGAAGAAATTTATTTACAAAACAAATAACAGGTTCATAATTCTTGAATATGAGCTTAGCTAGGGGTTCAGAGAAAGATGGAGAAATTGAGATGAACGCATTCAGAAAAGTGGAGTATACTGAAACGCCTACACTGTGAGGTGAGATTCCAGCGCATTTGCTTTTTCTTCCTCCTGTTCTCTAAAGAATCTGTCTGATCTCCAAAACTCCTAACCTTGCCTCCAAGGCTCCGGAGAACTCTATGCACTCTGGACAGAGGTGCCTTTGATCAGAACCCGGGAGAGACTTCTAACTGGCAACAGCCCAGCCCTGTCTGACTCTCAGTGGCACGGGCAAGGCCAGCTCTGAACAAGTGAGATGCTCTGCAGGGACAGGTGTCGTAGGGCGAGTTCACAGAACAGACAGGGCCTGAGGCAGAGATTCTAGTACAAGAAACTTTCTGTGGGAGGAACCTGTAAAAGAGGGAAAAAAGCAAGAAAGATAAAGGGAAACAATTCTGCAAGAACATGGCTTCAGGCAAAGTCTGGTCTCACCCTGATCACACCAGAGCTCAAGAGTGGGGTCAAGGGAAAGATTTGTCCCTGGTTAGCTGGAAATTGTTGCCGACTGTGCTGTCCAACTTTGTGGCCTATTTTGCAGTGCATCATTAAGCCTAGTTCTACCATTCACTTTGACTGATGAATTGTGGATAGTAACTCCTGTGCCTGTCAACTGGAGACTGGATCAAGAAGACGTGGTTTTTTAACAAAATGGAGTACTACTCAGCCATAAAGAAAGAGAAACTAGAGACATTTATAGCTAATGGATGCACATGAGGCGATATTCTTAAGTGAAATAAATAGGACACATGTAAATACTGAATAGTTTCTCTGATGTGAAAAACTAAAAGTGTAAATAAGGATCAAAATGAATAATTGATAATGTGAAATAGGAAGAAAAGGTCTAAAGGAGTAGGGGAAGTGGGAGGGGAAGGGGAAAGGAAAGAAGGGAAAAGAAAAATATGAGAAAAGGAAAAAATGGAAACAAAGTCATTGTAAATAGGGAAGGGTGGTGAGGAGAGAAGGGAGGGCAGGGAAATAGGGAAAAAATAAGAACCAAGATACTCATGTAAAGGTACAAGATCCCAATAATGAATGTAACTGTATTGTACACCTAAAATGTACCAATAAACAATTTTAAAAAGGAAATAAATATAGATAATATGACATGTGCAAGGAAAGAGAAAAGCCAGGAGTCGTGGTGCATGCCTGTAATCCCAGCACTCTGGGAGGCTGAGGCAGGAGGATTCCAAGTTTGACCCCAGTCTGCTGGGCAATTTAGCAACTTAGACCTTGTCTACAAAAGAAAGAAAAAAAAAGGAGAGAAAGAGAGATAGAGTAGGTAGATGATAGATAAATGATAGCTAGCTAGAGGACAGGTAGACAAATAGATGACAGACGGGTAACTATGTAACCAGATACTGGATAGACAGCTAGCTCTTTCCCAGCTGTGTCCACCGAGAGTGTCTAAGGGTGGTGTCACTCCATGAGTGATGAGCACATGGGACACTCTGACTGTGGTTTCTAAGTACCATCCTCCACCAGAGGGAATGAAAAGTGACTGACTCCAGGGTTGGGGAAGAAGCCAAGAGATTAGCCGGACATCCTGTTGTGGCAGGGCAGGCAGGAAAAGCTCAAGGATATGGGGACATGGCAGAAAGACAACAGGAGGCACTGGCCAGATTGGGGGCAGTCTGAGAATCAAAATCCTAATGGGTCACAGCTCACTGCACAAAATAGGAATCTACAAATCCATACTGATTAAATGGATCAATAAATGGGCAAGGGCGAGGAGGGAAACCTCTTCCTTACCATAGGCTGTTAAGTAATAAATGTAAACTGAATGACAGAAATTGATTGATTGATTTTTTTTTAGACAGGGTCTCACTATGTAGTTCAGGCCGGCCTTGAACTCACTATGTAGCCCAGGCTGCCCTCAAATTCAGATCCTCCTGCCTCAGCCTCCCAAGTGCTAGAATTAGAGGGAGGCACCTACCTTCTTTTTAGCAGTATTGTGGTCTAGGGATTAAATTCAAGGCCTCACACTTGCTAGACAAGTGCTCTGCCACTGAGCTACATTCACAGCCCCAGAAAATTTCAAATACCATTTGTTACCATCATAGTGGTAGTTCATTTAGGCAGAAATAGCCAATGGCTAAAGCTGATGGGTAGCAGTTCCACAGGGAACCAGATATTGGTATTTTCTCTGAATAGTTCCCCACAGAGTACTTATTAAACACAAATGGAAAAGAAATCATAATTTAGGGTGGAAAAATCTGTCAGACACCAACTTGACCAGCACTGAAGATTATTGTCCCCAGTAAGGGGACAGGATGACATCACTTGCCCTTGATGTGATGCTCTCGGAAGACCTAAGCATCATCTCTGTGATGTTCCTGCCCAGAAAACAGGGCCAAATATCCAAAGACCCAGGATGAGGACATCCCGAAGAAAAAGAGGCCTGTACTCTTTAAGCCTATTTAAGAACATGAGGGGAAGGGAACTGTTTTAGATAGGAGCTGCCCATAGGCCAGGACTCTATTTCCCCCTCTACTCACTGGCTGGAGATAGTGCTCAATAAAAGCAGTTATGAACTTTGAGACTAACTGGGAGAGTTAGTTAAAAATGCAGGTGTTAAGGGCTGGGGATTTAGCTCAGTGGTTCTGTCGCCTGCCTTGCAAGCACAAGGACCTGAGTTCGATCCCCAGTACCAAAAAAAAAAAAAAAAAAAATAGGGCCAGGGATTTAGCTCAGTGGTTTCTCTGCCTGCTGCGCAAGCGCAAGGACCCGAGTTCGATCCCCGGTACCAAAACAAACAACAAAAAAAATGCAGGTGTTGGGCCAGGGAGATAGCTCAGTGCTTCCACCTCCTGCCTCACAAGTACACGGTCCCGAGTTCGATCCCCAACACCAAAAATAAAAAAAGCACGTGTCAGGGCCCCATCCCTGACAGTTTGTTTCTAAAGATCAAGGATCTGTATATTTAGCCATCATCCCAGGAAATCCTGATGCAAGCAATCCAGCAATCACTCTGGTAGGAATGTTGTCAGAGAAATTCAGGAACCTGTAGCCGTCTTCCCATCCAGTCCTGACCTTCACCCCCTGTCTCTTTGTTTGCCCAGGGTGACACTGTATGCCGAGTTTCTTCCCATGAAAGCCAGAGCCAAATGTATTTTGCTGATTGAGGTAAGGAGAAGGGTGGCTGGGTCTCTAGAGAATGTTGACTCTGGCATGCAGCTCCCAGATGTCCTGAGCCAGGACAAGGAAAAGGGAGTTGAAGAAAAAAATAACAGACTCAATTCACAAAGACTAAAATGGATCAGTTATGTAAATTCAGACCTGACTGTTTTGCAATATGGAAAAATTCTTCAACTGACAAGAAAATCTAATCAATTGTCCCTTTAAAAAATGGTAGCAGGGCCAGGGATTTAGCTCAGTGGCACCGTGCCTGCCTCATAAGTGCAAGGTCCTGAGTTGGATCCCCGGTACCCCCACCCCCCCAATTGGTAGCAGGCAGGTGGAACTTCCTTCAACCAGAAATGGCTTTTATCTGAAAGTTGGAGTTCACTGATGTACCTGGAATGGACCAAACTCCTACCCCCCACAATAACATCCCCTCTGTTCCTGTTTTTCCCCAGAATGGCCCAGATCTTGTGAGACAAAGATCTCCCCTCTTGTTCACTTCCATGGCCTATGGGCTGCCTTGAAGCTTTTTTTTGGTACCGGGGATTGAACCCAGGTCCTTAGCTTGTAAGGCAGGCAGTGGAACCACTGAGCTAAATCCCCAGCCCTGCCTTGAAGCTTTTGTGGTCCAGTCAGTCCCTCTGAACGCTCCATCTGCTGGGGACCTGTGACCCATTTTGCAGCCGTGATCTGAGAGATCTCTTGCTGTCCTATAGACCCTCCCTGCAGCTACCCAGTGGGCCCAGTGGGCCCCTCCTTGCAGTGACAGAATTGTTCGTTTGCCTCTGCTGGTCACTGAAGTCCACAGCCTTGACTGTGCAGTCACTTAGACCTCTTTAGGCACTGTGACTGCATGGAGAACACTGATCACATTGATCCCAGAGCCCAAGCCAGCCATCTCGACAGCATCCACTTCTGTCCAGGGAAGGGGACAGTCAGCCTGTCCATACTGTTATGCATGAATCAGTTGGTTTAAATATTAAAGTGCATCTGTGCCAGCTGATCCTAAACCTTGACTGTGCCTCATCATATAACATCCTCTTCTCTCCTAAGACCCCTTACAGCTTCCCATAATCCAGCAATTAGAGTTAATTCCTGGCCCAGCTGGGGATGTAAGACTAATGACCAATGACATTTTGACTATTGTCCATTTTTATTGTCAGCGACAGAAAAGGAGCATGGTTCCTATAAGCAAAGAGGGATTTAGGAAGCTCTGAGGCTCCAGAATTTATGGGAGAAGCTGGTTTGAAATGGAAAATAGTTGTAGAATGAAGGTCCCAGCAGGAAATGGCATACTCAAATTAGCCTCGTTTGAGGGGGGCTGAACAAAGGCACTATTTTTATAGACCCTGCAGGGGTATTTCCTTTCCAGACCTGAAAAGGGACTGAGTGATCAGCATCCCAGAGAGTTGTGTGATGAAGGCTGCTGGAGAGAAGTGAATTCCTGAGGGACACAGCCAGCCCAAGAGCACCCTGTGGGGGACAGCCAGGGGAACAAATGCCCCAAATCTCTCCTCCTTCCTTCCCTCTCATCTCCTTTGAGACTCCCTGTTGTTTGCACCCAGTGAGAAGCCAGAGTACAGGGAGTTCATGGGAGTAGAAAAGGTAGAAAGGGCTAGAGAGTGGGTTGGAGAGACAAAGAGAAGGTAGCTCCATAGGAAAGAGGGGTACTGGGGCATTATTAAGAAAGGGAGATGGGGGCCGGGGATTTAGCTCAGTGGTTTCGCTGCCTGCTGCGCAAGCGCAAGGACCCAAGTTCAATCCCTGGTACCAAAAAAAAAAAAAAAAAAAAAAGAAAGGGAGATGGATGTCATCAGACAAAACCTAGTGTGTTCACATGTGTCGTCCTGTGCACAGAGACATTGTGCAAATAGCTAAGATGAGAAAACAACCCAGGTGCCAAGAGGGATGCATGGATAAGCAATAATGTGGTTCATCCGTGCAGTGGAATATTACTTGGCCTTAAAAAGGAAGGAAATTCTGACACAAGCTACAACTTGGATGAGGACATTATTTAAGATTATGCTAAGTGATCCAGACACAAAGAGACAACTATTATATGATTACACTTACATGAGGGGTAGTTAGAATACTCAATATTCATAATGACAGAAAGTAGAATAGGAATGGCCAGGAGTGGGAGGAGATGAGCTATTGTTTAATGAATAGAGTTATTGTTTTGTAAGATGAAAAGAGTTCTGGTGACGGGTGGTGGTAGCCATTGCACAATATTTTAAATGTATTTATGGGCCGGGGATTTAGCTCAGTGGTTCCACTGCCTGCCTCGCAAGCTCAAGGACCTGAGTTCAATCCCCGGTACCAAAAAAAACCCAAAAACAAAAAAAACGTATTTAATGCCACCAAACTGTACACTTAAAAATGGTTACAGTGGTAACTTTTATACTATGTGTTTTACCACAATAAAAAATTGGGGGAAAAAACAAATCAAAATCGCTCAATATATCCACTAACATATTGATGTCACATAATAGTGATGGTATTAGTCTCCTTAGCAGAGCTGCCAAACAGGCACCATGCAGATATTATACAGTATGCCCAAGCAAGGTGGTGCACACCTGTAATCCCAGTTTGAGGCTGGGAGGCTGAGGCAGGAGGATCACAAGTTTGAGTCCCACCTGGGCAACGTAAGGATTTAGCAAGAACTTCTTTCAAAAAATAAATAAATAGGGCTGGGGATTTAGCTCAGTGGTTCTGCTGCCTGCCTCGAAAGTGCAAGGTCCCGAGTTCGATCCCCATACCAATAAATAAATAAATAAATAAATGGAATGATGCAGTGCAAAGGCCCTGGGGTCAATCTCTAGTACCACAAAAAAATTATACAGTGTTGACAGGCCTCTAGGACACCTGTAAATATGACACTGGCAGTGGGTCCCTCAGACACCATGCAAATACTATACAGTGGAGACAATCTCTCAGAAGTGCTCCTCCAGCCCAGCCATGTGGCCCTCAGGAAAAGGGTGGCCCTTAGGACCTTCCTGACCCCAGAGACCCCCTTACCCACACTGACACCCTTGTCCTCAGTGACCCCGCAACTGCTCACTGTGTGGACCATACTACTCCACTCTGACCCTGGGTCTCCTGTTCCAGGTCTTCTGGGCCATCGGGACAGTGTTCGAGGTCATCCTGGCCGTGTTCGTGATGCCCAGCCTGGGCTGGCGCTGGCTGCTCATCCTCTCGGCTGTCCCGCTTCTCCTCTTCGCTGTTCTGTGCTTCGTAGGTATCTTTTAAGGGACCCGCTTTCCTACCTGGCGCTCCACTCTCCTCTGTATTTTGATAGGTAGAGATTATTTTAATCTCTACACCACCTTTTAAGTTTTGGGTTTTTTAAATCAGGAAATGAGACAACAGAACGGGTAGCTCTAGTGTGGGATGTTAGGGTTCTTGTGGACAGATATTTCTGAGATGTTCTCTAGGGAGAGGGCTGGGATGGGGGCTACAGAGGCCCCAACATTGCGAGATCTACATTTAAAGTGACTGTATTGTGACTCCTAAGTTACAAGTGACAAAAACCTAATTCAAACAGGCTTGAGTAAAACAGAGGGATAGATACATGACAGAGGAGTAAATATCTGGCTTCAAGCATGTCTGAATCCAGGAGTTCAAAAGATCTCAGGCCAGGGATTTAGCTCAGTGGCACCGTGCCTACCTCTCCAGTATAAGGTCCTGAGGTGATTCCTGGTACCTGGAGGGGAAAAAAAAGATCTCTCCATCTCAGCTCTGCATTAGCCATGCTCCCCAGAGAGATCATTCCATGTGCTCATCACTTCATGTGTAAGACACACTCATGAAACACTACAGCCAGTGGGGCCCCTGATTAAGCCTGGAAAGGGATATTTCTTACATATGGTTGATACTAGAATACTTTCTGGTAATTACAATAGAAATTAATAATTACTGAGTTTAATAGGCTCTTCACACACATTTTCACTTTTATTCCTCCCTATAACCATAAGAGGTAGGACTATGGTGAACCCCTGTATTAGGATGACACCAGTTCCTGTAATAAAGCCCACAAAACTCAGTAGCTTAATACAACAGGAGTCTGTTTCTCACTAACAATAGTTGAGAATGAGCATTCTGATTGGCAAGTGGGATTCTCGGCCCAGGGCTTTTTTCCAGCTTGTGGCTTTGCCATTCTCCAGGGCTTTGGAACCTTCTACATGCAGAGAACAGGGAAGGGAAGTACAGACTGTACATACACTTAAATGTGTTGGCCCAGGATAGTCTGATTACATGCCATTGGTGAGAGCAAGTCACATGATCTCACCTAACTGCAAGGGAAGCTGGGAAATGTAGTCCATTGCTGGGCAGCCATGTCCAAGGATGACTCTATACTATGGTAAGGGAAGCTTGAACTTTGGTGGACATTAGCAATCTTTGCTACCTATTACTGATGAGAAAACTGAGGCCCAGAGAGGCTGCTTGACAGGTCTAAATAAGCAGCAGAACTCTAATTTGAGAAAGATCTCCTGACTTCCAGTCTCACTATACCTGCTGTTTCATAGACCACTGTTGCTCCCTTTTATAGAAATGTATGTATCTAGTCATTTAGAGTTGGGACTCCATTAGGCTTACAGTTCTTTCTGATCTCCCTCTCTCTCTCTCTCTCTCTCTCTCTCTCTCTCTGACTGAATTTGCCAGACAATGCTGAGCACACGTGAGGTAGAGTTTCTGGCGACTTGGGGATGACATTTTTAATAGTGGTCACAATTTAATTCAACCCTCCCCAAAATTCTGAAAGCCGCACTAAATAATAATAGCAGATGTCAATGACAATAAATTGACCCATGGCAGACATTGCACAAAGCACTTTGCCTGAATTATCCCACTTAATGCTCTCAGCAACCCTAAGAGGTAGGCTCTACTATTACCTCCATTTCATGGGTTAGGAAATGAAGGAACAAAGAGGTCAATTCCTTGCGGAGGGTCTCACAACCATATAACTAGTGGCAAGGCCCGGATGTGAAGCCAGGTTGCTGGTTCCAGAGCTCCCACCCTTGAAGACCCCACACAGAAACCAGAGTGTTTAGCTGGGATGGAGTGCTCTCTTCCACCCTAACCAGCCTACCTGGCTCTCCTGTCCTCCCAGTGGCTGCCGGAGAGTGCGAGGTACGACGTGCTGTCCGGGAACCAGGAAAAGGCAATCGCCACCTTAAAGAGGATAGCAACAGAAAATGGAGCCCCCATGCCACTTGGGAAGCTCATCATCTCCAGACAGGTCAGTGCCAGCACCTACTGCCCGAGGCGTGTGTGTCTGTGTATGTGCAGTGGAGCATGTGCGCATGGCATGGGGACACGCAGGAGTGAGCATCTGTCCCCAGGGTGGGGATTGCACGTATACGCACACATGTTCACTTGTAGCTGCATGGTGTGGATGGGGGTGTAATGGCCACTTAGATTCACAGGCTTAAGTCCCTTTGTTCACCACTGACCAGATCAAAGGAACCCATTTATTTTGATAAAAAGGAAAAAAGAGATTTATTCAAAGGGAGCTCGGAGGAGATGGAGGGGCCCATTTGCCTCAAATCACTGTTGCAGGTGTGTTAGGGTCTTTTGTAGCAGAGAACAGTGCGGGGAGGGAATACAATGAGACAGAACACACGTTCAGGCTTGTTTCATCCCTTGCTGGACCCTCTACCTCTCTGTCCCTTGCCTAAGGAAATGACACTGGATTTGACCTCCAGGTGCCACCATCCGAATAGTCTGTCCATTCCTCTGGGCTGAGGAGAGGTGGGGGTGGGTGGTTTATGCCCTCAGCTTACAAAAGTTCAAGAAAGCCATTTGTCTCTGAAGGAAAAAAAATATAACTTTTAAAGTTCCACTTGCCCAGGCTGGTTGCAGAGGTATGGTAGGCAGGGCCTGCAAGGGGAATTTAGCAGCTCCATTCTCTCTTTCAGCTGCCAAGTTCTAAAGGTTCCCCAGGAAACTGAGCCAGTGATAGAGGAATGTTAAGGCTGCAGACAGGTCCTGTAACTGCTTCTGTTTAGTTCAGCCTTTCAGCATTGATGAAGCCTGATTAGCAAATATGATTGATAGGCAATTGTGCAGTACAAGGACATTAGAGGGTGAAGGGCTTTGGTGGGAGAGTACGTGTTTAGCCTTTGCAAAGGCCTGGGTCTGATACCTAGCATAAATAAATAATTAATTAAAGAGCTAGATAGATATAAATAAATAGGGCAGATGAGGGTGACACCCCTAGAACTAGGGTCATATGCTACTCCTCTGGTAAGATCATCAGAGAACCTGCCACGAGCACCTGTCAGCAAGGACACTGCACACAAAGTGATAAGGGATACAGATTTAAGGCTGCAGACTCTACCTTCAAGAATCATCTCATCTGTCAGGTGTGGGGGGCACACAGGTCATCCCAGCACTGCGAGAGGCTGAGGCAGGAGGACTGCAAGTTCAAGCCCAGCCAGGGCAACTTAGCAAAACCTTGGCTCAAAATTAAAAATAAAAAAGGACTGGGAGTGCTGCTCAGTGTGAAGGTCCTGGTTCAATTCCTAGTACTATAAAAAATGCAAATAAAAAAGAATTATCCAAGGGCCAGGGATTTAGCTCAGTGGTGCCACCACCTGCCTTGCCAGCACAAGGTCCCAAGTTTGATCCCTGGTATAAAAAAAAAAAGAATTATCTAAGCAGATTGGAGAAATGTGGCAAATATCCTTAATGAGACCACAGGCCCTACAAAGAAATTACCTTTGAAAATAAGATTATATTTGTTTCTATACAGAGTAAGTGAATGGAATTTTGTCAGCTTGGGAGGAGGTGTTTGGCATGGTCTGACAACACAGAGGACACCAGACCTACCCTAAATCTACTTTGGGAGCCACGGGGACATCCCAAAGAGCTGAGGTGCGGGGGGCCCATCTGGCCCCCTTTGGGGGGAGCCCATCCCTGTATGATGATGCTTGGGTGGAGAAGCATGCAGTGGTACATGTCCCAAGGTGGATGCTCCACCTGTGGCTGTCACTATGTGTCCTGGCTTCTGTGTGTTCTGGGGCACCCGCAGAATGGGTTGGGTGTATTCGATGGGGATCATGATTCCCTGGTGGCAGCAAGAAAACTAGCAGGGGCAGAACCATTGGCACTGCAGCCAGGGCCAGCAAGGCCTGTGGTGAGAGAGGTCACTTCTGCTCTGGTGATCCAGCCAGGCTCCAAGGAGGTGGACGAGCCAGAAGAGAAGGGCTTTCTAGACAGACACCCACTCTCCAAAAGCCAGTTGTCCCAAATAAACTTGCTAAGTGTATCAATTTGCCAAAACCATATTTTAAAAATTATTCCTTTTGTAAATAGGAATACATTTTTCTTGTATTTATTAATACATCTGTTCATCTATATATTTTGTTTGTTTTGTTTTGTTTTTTGAGTCAGGGTCTCCCTTTAAAGCAGTCACCTTTTTTTTGGTACCGGGGATCAAACTCGGGTCCTTGTGCTTGCGCAGCAGGTGGCGAAACCACTGAGCTAAATCCCTGGCCCAGGGTCTCCCTTTGTAGTTCAGACTGGCCTTGAACTCACTATGTAGCCCAGGCTGGCCTCGAACTTGCAGCAAGCCTCCTGCCTCAGCCTCCCGAGTGCTGGGATTACAGGTGTGCGCCACCACACCCTCATTTGAATCCCTTTCTAAATATATATATATAGTTTTTTCCTTTCTAAATATATTAATGAGTCTGTTCCAAAATATATTAAGCAGGGCCGGGGATTTAGCTCAGTGGTTTCACCACCTGCTGCGCAAGTGCAAGGACCCGAGTTCGATCCCCAATACCAGAAAAAAAAAATTAAGCAAATATAAATTTTTTCAGATATATTCAATAAATGCAGATATTCTCCAATATAATTAATAAGCATATTTAATGATTTTTTAAAACTTTTTGGTGGTGCTAGGGATGGAACCCAGGGCCTCTAGAATACTAGACAAACACTATCTCTGAGCTACATCCCCAGCTTGAATATTGTCTTCTTATTCAAAAATATATTACACAAACATAAACAAAGAAAAAAAAGGGAAAGGGATTCTCTGACACCCACAAATTAAAGAAGAGGTTTATTTGGCTCACAGTCCATAGTCAGCTGGCTCAAAGGCAGGGCAGCAGGGCAAAGGGGCTGGCAGAGGAGGCTGGATTTAGGGCCCATCAGCAAAGCAGAGAGAGAGAGCAACAAAGTAGCAAGGAGGTACACGATTTGAGGCCGTGGCCCCAGTGACCCACCTCCAACCAGGCTTCCTCTCCCAACATCACATTTAGCTACAAACTCGTGGGGGGGCGAATCCACGGATGAGTATCACGTACCTATGATACTTTCACCTCATGCACGAGGCTCTGGGGGTCATTCAGATATAAACCATAACAGGGCCGGGGATTTAGCTCAGTGGTTTTGCCACCTGCTGCGCAAGCACAAGGACCCGAGTTCAATCCCCGGTACCAAAAAAACAAAACCAAAAACAGATATAAACCATAACAGGGATCAAAAGATGGTTGAAAAGGGCCAGGGATTTAGCTCAGTGGTTCCACCACCTGCCTCGAAAGCACAAGGTCCCAAGTTCGATCCCCAGTACCAAAAAAAAAAAAAAAAAGATGGGGGGGAGGGGGCAAAAAAAGGAATTAAGATGTATTATGTACATGTATCAATTCTCCACAGGATTGTAAACATTATGTACTACAAACCCGTACTAATAAAAAACTCTGTTACACAGATGTTTTTATTCGTGAAGACAATATTCATAGACAAACTAAAACCTCTATGGAGTATATTCTTCTTTTTCAAACAGGGTCTTACTAAGTAGCTCAGGTTGGCCTTGAATTCACTATGCAGCCCAGGCTGGCACTGAACTCATGACGATCTTCCTGTCTCAGTCTCTTGAGTACTGGAACTACAGGTGTGCCCCACCAGGCCCAGCAAATCGATAATCTTTTTTGCACCTTTAGCATTTTTAAATAGCAAGCATTTCTCAATCTATGGCTAGGAAAAATATGTTCATTAACTATAGCTAAGAAGAATATAACCACAGTTGTAGAATATATTTTTAGGAGAACATCATAAAGCACAGATTTGCTAAATCACTTAATACTGATAAATGCTTAATAAATGCTGTTACATAAAATTGGCAAATAGGTCATTTAGCTAAATCAATCTGTTAACAAATTGGCCTGTAGTGAGTTGGCTTTTTAGTACATTAATTGTTGTCACCTTGATCTGGCCTTGGGGGAGGGCGCGCGCGCGTGTGTGTGTGTGTGTGTGTGTGCGCGCGTGTGTGTGGTTCCACACTCCTTGTGCTGGTTTCCTAGTTCCTGGGTGTCTGGGTCCCAGGAGGTCTTGAGGGGCAAGGCCTGAGGGTTCTGCTTCCCAGGTCTCGGGTGCCACTGAGAGTGGGGGTGGGGCTGCATCCTGTGGACCCTTCAGTTCTGTGGATTTGAGTCCTGGGTTCTCAGAGCCCTAGTGTGTAGGCAACAATCTCGGGCCACCAGCCAGTGTCCCACAGGTCTGGACGGAAGGGAATAACCAGCATGTCCTTGTCTTGAAACAGGAAGACCGAGGCAAAATGAGGGACCTTTTCACACCCCACTTCAGATGGACAACGCTGCTGCTGTGGTTTATATGGTAAGAGGAGGGTGCTGGTCACTTTGACCCCACTTTATTTGGCCTTCATTTGGAGCAATGCACAGAAAACCTTTTGATCTCAGGCATCATTTATAAATTTTGGTAGTTTGAGCATCACCTTCCTGATTTCTGCTTTATCCAGGTTATCACTTATGCAATTATCACCTGTGCTACTCATTTCTTTTTGTTTTTGTTTTTTTGAGACAAGGTCTTGCTTTGTAGTTCGGGCTAACTTGAACTCACAATGTCAGGCAATCCTCCTGCCCCAGCCTCCTGAGTGCTGGGATCACAGGTATGAGCCACTATGCCCAGCTTAATTTCTTAATATTGTTCTTTAACTCCACTCATTTTTTTTTCAGATAAGTATCTTTTAAAAGGAAATTTTGGCTGGATGCCATGATACATGCCTGTAATCACATAGGAGGCTGAGGCAGGAAGATCTCAAATTTGAAACCTGCTGGACTACATAGCAAGAACTCATATTAAAATACAAAAAATAATAGCCAGGTGTGGTCGTGTATACATGTAATACCAGCACTTGAGAGGCGGAAGCAGGAGGATTGCCATGAGTTCAAGGCCAACCTGGGCTCCATAGTGAGTTCAAGGCCAGCCTGAACTACATAGTGAGATCCTGTTTTAAAAACAAACAAACAGGGCTGGAGATTTAGCTTAGTGGCACCACACCTGCCTCAAAAGCGCAAGGTCTTGAGTTCAATCCCTGGTACCACAAAAAAACCCAAAAACAAACCATAAATAAATAAATAGAAATTCTATATCTCCACTTTAAAGGAAAACACCTTGATTATAGGCCATAGATAGAAGTTACTCTTGTAAATAGAATAAAGGTAGTTATGTGGATGGCTGGTCTTCCAAAGCAATGAGCTGTGCAGTTAACAGACAGACTGGGAGAGTAGGGAGGTGTTCAGGATTCAACAGCACACAAATGAAACTAAGATATAGTCAAAAGAAACTGAAAGGAAATTTTTTCTACAATAAGAGTTAATATTTATGTTGTGTCAGTACCCTCCTCTCTGCCCATACTGCTTTGGGTACTGCTGGTGGCACATGGCCTGTAGTTTGAGAACCAGGATTGGGTCAACACGGCCATTCTTGAAACTTCTGGTTCTGACTCTGTTCAACTTTTCTTAAACAAGAGCCACAGGAGGGGACCAGCGGGGAGGTGTATGGAGAGAGCAATCATCTTATACTTCACGGCAAATCAAATTTCAGCCATTCTTTCGATTCACTTTCTACCAAATCATGTGCATAGCAGCAACCACGTACAAAGCTTTGTGCTTTAAGCTTTGTGTTCCTTTTTTAACCAGTTCTTAATTTTCCTATTCACCTTTGAGCAGAGGTGCTAATTAGCAGGGGAGTCTCCCCAAGGTGGTTGATTACTGGGAAGAGAGAAAAGCTTTGATAATATATAGAACTGAGCTCCAGTTCTGCCCCCACATTCCTAGGGGCTGAATCAACTCACCAAGCGTTTATTAAACACCTGCTCGGGCCCAATACAAATGTGAAGCCTGCAGGATTCTTAGGAGGGGGTTTGGACAGAGTTGGGAACACCTAGCTTCAAGCTTATGCAATTCGGCTGGGTCCACACTGTATGGATCCTGAAGCAGTGAATGAGAGACTAATATTAGTACACCATCAAAGTCACTAAATTTGCTAGTATAAACTGGGCACAGTGGTGCACTCCTATAATGCTCGCGCTCTGGGAGGCGAAGCAGGAAGATCACAAGTTCAAGCCCAGCCTAAGCAACTTAATGACTTCCTGTCTCAAAAAGGGGAAGTATTGGCTGGGGATTTAGCTCAGTGGTTCCTTCGCTTGCCTTGCAAGTACAAGGTCCAGAGTTCAATCCCCAGTACCAAAAAGAGTGGGGGAAGTATGGGGCTGAGGATTTAGCTCAGTGGTTTCACAGCCTGCCTCGAAAGTGCAAGGTCCAGAGTTTAATCCCTGGTACCAAAAAAAAAGGAGAGGGGAGTATGCTAGGCATGGTGGCACAGGCTTATAATCCCAGCACTTGGGAGGCTGAGGCAGGATCACCACAAGTTCAAGGCCAGCCTGGGCTACATAGTGAGTTCAAGGGCAGCTTGAACAATATAGTGAGACCCTGTCCCAAAAAAGAAAAAAAGTTTTAAAGGTGAGGGCACATGCTATAGATATAGCTCAGTGCAAAGGCCCTGAGTTCAATTTCTAGTACCACACAATAATAATAATAATAATAAATAAAATAAAAATTTGCCAGTACAAACTGTAACCCAGTGAAACTAAAGTTTGATGTCTCATTATAACTCTTCTACTGGATGAGAATGTTCTGGTCCTCCAAATTTGAATATCCTAGTTTCCAAGGTCAGTCAGGAATTATTAAACAGTCATCTTGCCATTGATGGGGTCCAAAGAGGGTTCCCTAAAGAGGAGATAAGAACCTCAAGGGGGCCTGGGTAATTCTTCATGAGTCGTTGCAGGCAAGCACTTGGAGATGTGTCAATGAGAATAGGCAGAGTTAGAAAGTAAGAAAAAATAGATAAGGGACATCAGCCTGAGGAGCCAGAGGCGCACAGCTGTGATGGAGAGGATCAGACTGGCCCATTAACAAAGGAAGGAGGCCAGGTTTTACAGAGGGGCTGTGTGGGCCAGGTCTGGTCAACCATTACCTCCACGCTCTGGAGAAGGGCTTGTCGCTTAACCCAGTCCCCGTGAGATGGCTGCTTCCTTTTGGGACAGTCTCAGTTTTGTGGAGGCTCTGCTGGAATCCAAGGTGGCTGTAGGTTTAGAGCAGAGACTGGAGACTTCTGGACACTCACTGGCAACTGAATGTCCCTGTGTTCTCTTGACTTGTTGTCCTCAGTCAGGATGGGAGGGGGTAGGTTATGTAAATTTAGGGCTAATCAATTTTATTTTGCAGCTTTTACTTGGACACTTCTTAAGTGATTAACATGTCTAATATGTAGAGCTGAGCAAGGATGTAACCCAAAGTTTTCAGGTAATCTAAGAGACAGAATCAAAGTGAGATTAAGCTTAGTTCTGCTTTTAGTTACCCATTGAGCATCTGTAGGCCCACATGAAGAATCACTGTGTTGTTTTTCTCTTCTTCGTTGTTTTGTTTTAGCAAAAGTGGCTTTCAAGTCCTTGATTCCCTCAGGAGACAACACAAATCATGGCTGTAAGAAGTAGCAGGTTAAGGGCCCACAAGTTTGTTTGTCCTCTGCCCCTACGGTGATCTGTATGTCAATTCCACTCTGAAATGCTAAAATCTTGTTCAAGTTCACCAAATTAGACAAGCCCTGACAGGTGTCTTCAGGGCTGTTTTCTTCCAAATTTTGACCCCTGTAAATGTTTTCTCCTATTATCAGCTGGGTAGACAGCGGGGGTGGGGGGGATGTCTCTGGGATGCGTTATCAATCTGGACTTGTGTGTGCGGTCCAGGGGATTAAACTCAGGGCCTTGCTCATGCTGGCCCTGTGCTCTGTCCCTGGGATACAGAGCCAGTCTGATCTTTTTCTCTTTTTGCAGGGGTGCTGGAGACTGAGCACAGGGCTTTCACACTGAGCTACATTGTCAGTCTTTGTTTTCCATTTTAAAATTTGAGACAGTGTTTTGCTAAATTGCCCAAGCTGACCTTGAACTTGCACTCTTCCTGCCAAAGAGCTGAGATTATAGGCATGTGCCACTGTGGCTGACTCCTGATCTTGATCTTTCAAGACACAGAATCACTTCCTTTTATCACATCCCAAGCTTTGTGCCCACCACTTTCCTGCTCAAGGTACTCAGTGAAGCCCTCAAAGACCCAGCGTGGTCCAAAGCCAGGGCTGCACTGCTGCAAACACAGATCCTTCCCAGGGAAGGGGCAGGGGTCTTGCCTTTGTCTGAGCATTACTCTGCCTCTTTTGCTTGCTCCTGCAGGTTTTCCAATGCGTTTTCTTACTATGGTTTAGTTCTCCTCACCACTGAGCTCTTCCAGGCGGGGGACATCTGCAGCAGTGAGTATCACATTCCCTTTCCTGGGTACAAACACCGCCCCTCTATAGACATGCAGTTGTGTGCACACTTGTAGGCCAGGTTCCGCCCGATCGGCCTGGTTTCCAAGATGTTCTGAAGGATCCTGGATGGTCTTGTTGTGATGAGCTGACATTTCTGGCATCACAGTCTTATGCTGGGCTTGATTTCTGAGATAAGCACTGTCCAAAGATAACCACGGCACGGTGAAATCTTAGTTTATTTGAGCAGGCAGAGATTCAGGAACCAGGCAGCACCCGACTACAGGCGGTTTGGGCTCCACTGAAGGGCTGCAAGGGGGAAATGTTCATAAGTGTCAAAGGACCAAATGAGACGGGTGTGGTGGCACACGCCTGGAATCCCAGCACTCTGGGAGGCCAAGGTAAGAGGATGGCAAGCTCGAGCAACCCAGGCTGAACAATCTAGCAATTTGCTGAGACTCTATCTCAAAATGAAAAACAACAGCAGGCGATGTAGCTTAATGGGAAGGACCTGGGTTTCAATCCCCAGTACCAGAAGAAAAAAAAAATTAAATGCCAACAAATTTACCTTAAAGATCTAATTACAGGACTACAGGTGTAGCTCAGTGGCAGAGCACCTGCTTAGCATACTGGAGGTCCTGGATTCAACCTCCAGCACCACAGAAAAATAAAATAAAGATGCAGTTGGTTTTTATAGTGATCCTAGAATTGGGGGGAATTTTGCGTTATAAAAACAAATGTTTGGCCCTGGGATTTAGCTCAGTGGTTCCACTGCTTGTCTCACAAGCACAAGGTTCCGAGTTCGATCCCTGGTACCAAACAAAAAAACAAATGTTTTTATTGATATTCTGATAAACTGAGCAGAGGAGGTAGGCTTTATAGGTAGAAAAAAGCTGAGAAATGAGTAACAAAAAGTAGATTGGTCTATCCTTTTTTTGTTTCACTACTGGGGATTGAATCTGGAGCAGTGGTGACAAACCTTTGGCACACGTGTGATTTGTTTTTCTTTTTAAGACAAAGATGTTCATCTATGAGTTGTTTTTTCTAAACTAAAACCTCAGTGTTCAGGTTTAATAGCAGTGTGGGCACTTTGCGATAAATAAGTAGGTTTTGGGTTGGAGTATGGGCACTTGTCTCTGAAAGGTTCACCATCGCTGATCAGGGGCCTCCCACATGCTAGGCAAGTGCTCAACCACTTAGCTACACTTCCAGCCAACCGTCCCAGCCTTTTTATTTCATTTTGAGCCAGGGTCTTGCTAAGCTCCCAGGCTGGTCACAAACTTATAATCCTCTTGCCTCAGCTTCCAAGTAGCTAGCATTGTAGGCATGTCCCTCTGTTACCATGGATGATGAGGTTCTTAATGTCTCATGCATGATGAACAAAGAATTGGACACAGCATGAGATGGTAAAGAAAAAAGCAGCAAAGTTTGAAACAGGCAACCTAATGCTCAATGAGGAGGCTCATGCCAGTGGAAGGAAATGGTCAAGTTCTGAAGGCGTTAGGTTTAAGAATTTAAAATGTTGTGCCAGGCCTAGGGTTCTTCCCATTGTGATTGGCAGGGTGCTGTCATGTCAGTTGTATCTGTTGCACATGTCCTTTTGTTACTGGCATTCTGGGGTGCTATGTTCTTTCCAGGGGTCCCTTCCAGGCTCTTGTCCTGAACAAAGAATTGGACAGGGAATGAGGTGTCAAGGTTCTACATTTATTAAAAGGTAAAGAAAAGGAGTACACTTTGAAAGGAGTATACTCTGCAGAATGAGTGCAGGTCAATTAAAGTATGAAAAGAAATACATTCTGCAGAATGCAGAGTGGGCCACTGAGAGAGCAGAGGCCATGAGGCCAATAGCCATAGTCTTTTATGTCCCTCATGCTGACGTCAGATTGAGACCATCCTATCAAAAACCTGCTTGATCTAAAATATAAATTAAAAACAAACAAACAAACAAAAAAAACCCCTGCTTGATCTTGTGCCAGAAGAATCAAAGACAGCATTCTCTGATTGGTACCAGGTGCAAGGTTTGGAAGCTGTTCTGTGCGTGTGCCCTGGCTATCAGCGATTGACATGTCATGCCCACTTGTCCAGCCAGCCGATCACACCCTAATCTCCTGCATCACTTTCCCATAATTCACTCTGTTATAATTGGATGTATGAGATGCACTCCATATGTGTGAAGATTCAGTGAGCTCTAAGTGAAGAAAGGTTACTGCATGTCACGCCAGCAGGTCTGGCACACATGTGTGCTGGTTTGAGATTTCAGAATTTTCCAGGGTGGGCTCAGTGGTCTTTGTTATTTTTTTCATCTCTACCTTAAGGTAGAGGACTCAGGACAACGGTTGGGGTGTTGGCCCTAGGGCATTGCCCAGGTTCAGGTGAATAGCAGGAAGTGATCCTGTCACCCCGGTTGTATTATCTATATTACCACTATGCCTGGTTGGATTTTTTTAAGTTGCTGTCATTACAGGGTTAAAACAAAGGAGCCTTGCTGTCTCGTTGGTTGTGGTAGACTAAGCCCCTTCTCATTGATTGCTATGAATCTTAGGTTTTTGAAAAACTGGCCCCCTTCAAAATTCAATTTGATTATATCACTTAGTACAATGACTACGTGGTCTTGTCTGCTGGAGCATAGTGCAGGAGGCAAGTCCAAAACCATAGCCTCTCAGCTGGGTGTGATGGCTGTAATCCCAACATTCGGGAGGCTGAAGCAGGAAGATGGCCATGAGTTCGAGGCTAGCCTGGGCTACATAGTGAGTTCAAGGCCACCATAGCAGAGACCCTGCCTCAAAAAACAAAACAAAACAACAACAATAAAAAAAACACTATAGCTTCTCATAACCTTTAACAGATGATGGACACAGAAGCAAAGAAAATAACTGGGTAAAGAGGGACAAGGCCCTCTTAGAGGTTAGCTGGTGGTTTCTGATTCGTTAAGTTAGTGTTCGCTCACTAGAATCCTAGTTCCCTGAGACCTATCTTAGGCTAGTGACCTCCCAATTAATTTTTCCAACAGCCATTAAAGTGCAAATTGCTTATAGATCAAAATTATCATTGAAATCTCCTGAGGAATTCTAGAAAGGGCAGTACTGAGAGTTTCATGGACACGATCCTGTTCAGAAATGCCGATGAGACATTAAGTTTGAGAACCACAATGGTGCCATCACTGGCCACACCAGAGAATCACCCCGGGAGCTTTTTTTTCATTTTCTTTTTTTTGGTACCGGGGGATCAAACTCAGGACTTGGTGCTTAGCAGGCAGGTGCAGCGCCGCTGACCTAAATCCCTGACCCAACCCTGGAAGTTTTTAGACAATGCCCAGACCAATGTAATTCACTAAGCGTTGGGCCCAGGCATTAGTGATTGTTAAAAGCTCCCCAAGTTGATTCTATTATGAAGCTGGAGGTGGGAGCCATTGGATAAAAGAAAGAAATGAAAGAACCTCTATATGCAGATGTCTGGACTTTCAAGCCATTCCATTTTTAAGATAATAATAGGTTCCTAGCATTGAATTCAGGCTGGAAGATAAAGGAATCAAGTTGTACTGCTTGTCTTTAGGGTTTGCCCACTTCTCTTT